TTATTATTTTTTATATTATTTATTATTGATATTATTATCATTATTATTATTATTATTATTATTATTATTATTATTATTATTATTATTATTATTATTATTATTATTATTATTATTATTATTATTATTATTATATTATTATTATTATTATTATTATTATTATTATTATTATTATTATTATATTATTATTATTATTATTATTATTATTATTATTTTGAAGGTATTTTAAGAAATTAAACGCGAATATTCCATCGATTTTTTCCAAGGAAGGCTCTCAATCTTGTTCTTTTAAAAAATACTTTTTAAAGGACTATCCAAGAAATCAATAAAAAATTATTAAAAAATATAGACCTCCTTAAAACCTTAATTTTTTAAAGAATATGTTTTAAGAACCATCCAAGTCCTTCCAATAATTTTTTTAAGTCTTATGGCATTAAACTTTGATATTCAACGTTTTTTTTTTTTTTTTCAAATAAGTTTCTGAATCTTGATTTTTTAAAGAATAGTGTTTTTTAAGACTATCAGGGCAATAAACATGAATTTAAGTTGACGTTTTAAGGCTTGTTTAAGAAGGATAAAGGCAATTAAGGTGGATATTTTAAGATTTTTTTTTTTGTTCGAAGGACCTTCAAGGAATTCGTTTTTTTAAAGGATTTTTTTTCTTTTTTTTCGAAGAACATTCAAAGTAATAAATATTGATTTTTTTTTAAATCTTTTTGAAGGACTATCAAGACAATAAACGTGATTTTTTTAAATTTAAAAGACTTTTAAGCCAAAAATCGCATATTTTTCATTTTCCTTTGAGGAAACTTGATTTTTAAAGATTCTTTTTCAAGGACTATCCAAGCAATTAGTGTGGAGTTTTTTACGATTTTTCCAAGGACATTCAAAGCAAAAAATATGATTTAAAAAAATTTCCAAGGACTATAAAGACAATAAAAGTTGTTTTTTAAGGATTATTTATGGACTACCCAGGCAGTGAACGCGGATTTTTAAGACTTTTTTGTAGGACCTTCAAGGTTTAAAGCGTGTATTTTTTAAAGGAGTTTTTCAGAGGACAGTCCATGTAAATCCATTTGGAAAGACTATCAAGGCAATAAATTTATTTTTTTTTTAGGTTTTTATATTTTATTTTTGGTAGTCAATACACTTTTTTTGAGGATCGAACTATCAAGGAAATTAAAGCGAATTTTTAAGATTTTTTTGAAGGACTTTAAGGGATTGTATTTGTTTTTTAAATTTTTTCAAAGGACTATTCAAGCCGATAATTGTAAATTTTTTACGATTTTATTCAAGGACAATTTTTTAAGTTTTTTCGAATGACCTTCAAATCTGGATTTTTTTCATGGAGGATCGAACCAAGATTTTTTTTTGAAGGACCTTGAAGGGATTATTTTTGATGTTGATTTTTTTAATTTTTTTCAAGGACTATTTTTTATTTATTTATTTATTTATTTTTTTTTTTTTTTTTTTGAGGGACTTTCAAGGGAATAAAGTTGTATATTTTAAAGGATTTTTCTCGAAGGAGTTTCAAGGCAATAAATGCGGATTGTTTAAAGAGTTTTTTGAAAGATTTTTAAGATAATTATGGCCGATTTTTAGACCTAGATTTCTAAAGAATATTTTTTGAAGACCATTGGAACAATAATCATGGGATTTTTAAACAGATCAATATATCTGGATTTTTTCCGAGGACTATCAAGACAATTTTTTAAGAACGCGTTAAGGCAATACACGAGGATTTTTAAACAAATGTTTTTTCTTTGAGCTGTTAGACCAATAAATCTAGAATTTTTCCATGAACGATCAAACCAATTTACGGCGATTTTTTTCTAAGACCCATCACACCAATAAACATGGACTTTTTTTGAAATTTTTTTTGAAATTATTAAGAGGGCCTTTTTATCGGACCTTCCAACTAATAAGTGGTGCTTTTTGATTAATTTTTTCAATGACATTCCAACCAATAATCCTAAATATTTTAAAGATTTTTTTTCAAGAACTATCCAAGCAATCAAGGTGTTTTTTTGAAGATTTTTTTCTCAAGGACCTTCCAGCCAATAAATGGTGATTATTGAGATAACATTTATCAATGACCTTTCAACTAATACATGGGGATTTTTAAAATAACTTTTTTCAAAGACTTTCCAGCCATAAATAGGGACTGTAAAAGAGCATTTTTTGAGTGACCTTTTTACCAAAAATCGTAGATTTTGTAAAGAATTTTTTCAAGGTCCTTCCAGCAAATAAACTTGGAGTTTTTCAAACCATCCCAGCAATTAACTTGAATTTTTAAAGATTTTTTTTCTCAAGGACCTTTCTGCCAATAAATAGGAGTTTAAAAAAATCAATGTCATTCCAACCAGAAATGTTACCACAATCTAAGTTTGGACCAAATCGGATACTCCCTTCAAGAGTTATCGTGCGAACGGACATCCTTAGATCGACTCCAATTGTTTGTATTCAGATTTGGTCCAAAGAGACCTAGGGTTTAAAACCTTTATTTCGACGAGTCTGTATCCATAAGGACCTTCCGAATAAAAAAGTGAATTTTTTAAAGATTTTTTTCAATGACCTTTTAGACAAAAAACAGATTTTTTCGATTTCTTTTCAAGAGTCGTTCAAATAATAAACCAGGACCTTTTAAGAAATTTTTCTTTAGGTCCTACTATTTTATAATTGTTTTGAGATTTTTAGGATTTTTTTTAGCGCTATCTAGATTTCAAAAAACAGATTTTTTCGATTTCTTTTCAAGAGTCGTTCAAATAATAAACCAGGACCTTTTAAGAAATTTTTCTTTAGGTCCTACTATTTTATAATTGTTTTGAGATTTTTAGGATTTTTTTTAGCGCTATCTAGATTTCAACCTTAATTTATCGAGCAATTTTCTCCAAAAAATAAAAATAACCGTGTGCAAGCGCGCATAGTCCCAAAAAGAGATCATTTAAGAGAAAAAATTTTTTTCTTTAAATTTTACGATTCATTTCAATTGTTTCTTAACATGAATGTCGTCCAAAACTATTTTTTCAGGCGAATTAAAACAAAATACCTATAAATAATATTTTAACACTTATGTTTTGATGATTTAAAAGAACCAAATGAAATTAGACTGTCATGAGAGCTCTTGTTCTTAAGAAGCCCTGGTTTTTCATTATTTTCCTCAATTCCTAAAATTGCTCACATCCGTTTTCAACTCAAACATTTACATATCGTCAACACATGTTATCACTCTTGTGGTAATCACCCATCGACCTCTCATATTTCTTATTGTGCACACATGAAAATTTTAGTATTTGTTTTTTTGGAAAATCCAAGATAAGATTTTATGGATAAATGAGTGGAATTTTTTTTAATGGCCAACAAATAACCCAATTCAAATAGGGACCATATCCCGCCGCAAGCAGATAGTTTATCATATGAGGTCACAAGTATATGAGGTCTTATCTACCTACTTCAGAGGGTGCTAATCAGATTTTCAAATCATGGAGACATTTTTTGGATCGAGTTTAGTTGCTGAATTGCATTCAAAGGATACGGTGCTCAAGAAAATTGCTCTTTAAATTGGCAGAGCAATGGGTGAAAGTATACAGAGATATGGAAAAGAAATATCGATCTGAAGAAAACTTTCGTAATTTTAAAAAATGTTAATTACAAAAATGGCGAGTGAATTGAAAAGATATTATTCGAAAAAAATAATAATAATTTTAACAGCGGGAAGCAGTAAAGGATATCATATCATCCTGTAAGTAGAAAAATGTGGAATTAGTAATCTACTCCATTTGCCATATATTTATTCCGAACTTTACCATTTGCAGTGAAAATTTCAATTGATCCTAAGAAGGATCAATTGATCCCGAAAGAAGGGATACTGATCTCAGCGAAAATTTAGAAAAAACCGACTTCTTGAAAATTAAATGTCTCCCTTTTGCAATATGGGAATCGGAGAACGACCCCTCATTGATTTGAAAGATAACGACTCTTTTAAATTAATTTTCCCATTTTTTTGATATTGGATTCCTCGAAATTTGTCGCGAGTCAACAAAAGGTATTGCTATATTACCAGCTGCAAGGCCCCAAGGTACATTCCCAACCACAGGAGGTATTTTACCTTTGTCATTCCGTTTGTAGCTCTTCGAAATATTCATGATATTGAATTCTAAGACGATTTAGCGATGTCCGTCTGTCTGCCTTCCTATGTGTCTGAATGTCCTTCTGTCGGTCTGTTATAATCACACTATCCTTGGAACGAATTGAGATAGAAGGCTAAAATTTTGCACACATGCGTATTTTGCTAGTAGGCAGGTTAAGCTCGTATAGCCCCCACATATAACCATACCTCCCGATATTCGGTATTTTGATGATATTAGCGACATCATTCTACCGTATTTTTTTTTTTAATTTCGTATTCGAAGTCTGTAATGAATACTACAGCCTATGCAAAAAAAATCATATGCGTGTCCACGTCTTCCTATAGCTCCATTATTACGACTCCTCTCGGTATTCTGTATTTTGATGCTTCTAGCGACACCATTCACCCGAATTGTTTCAAATTTCCCATTCAAAGTTAGCAACGGGTAGTACAGCCTATGTAAAAAATAAATCGTATACAGTTCCATGTCTTCGTATAGCCCCCATAGACCCCATATAACCTTCCCATATTCGGTATTTTCATTTTAGCGATATTATTCACCCGAATTGTTTCAAATTCCGTATTTGAATTCTCGAAGATTACCAGAGAAATAATCCCAAATTTGTTGAGATTTTTTTTTTGAGGATTATAAAAAAATTTTGAAGCCCAAGGACTATATTTCGAAATTCATATTCGCTATCGGATCCCCAGTAGCGTTGCTTTCAGATTATGCATGTTATGTTCGTGTTTATTGTTATTAAGCTTTTGGGAGTGTATATTCTTATACCGAACTGAAACGTAGAAATGTACATTCTATCTTAGATTCTTACGTTCACCGACTCAATATTATTTTTTAACTCTATTTAAGGCATGGCTGAGGCTAATTAACAAAAAAGTCCGATTTTAACTGCGCATCTTGAAATACATACAAAACGCTACCAACCGAAATATTGAAGATGGGAGCGGGATGGGATTTTTTATCATCTTTAACAAAATTGCATTATGAAGAGCTGTCGGAATTATAAGAAGGTCGTACTACGATGATGGATCTTCTTCATGCTTCGCCATTCAAGGACCCGTTAAGCTTTCTCTCAGTGTCACAACACTACATTTTAGGCATTAAAAATGTCTACGAGGACTGCCAACAAAATCACTCCGAACTCAAATTGGATCTACAGTCAGAGGACTTCCTGGTATAACCATATAGATTCCAGATCAGGTAAGTATTTTTCAGTTCACAGTTCAAGTTCACCAACTCAATATTATTTTTTAACTCTATTTAAGGTATGTTTAAGGCTATCAACCAAGAAAATTCGATGAAATATATAAAAACAACCTACCAGCCAAAATATTGAAGATGGAAGCGGAAATTGTATATCATCTTTGGCAAAATGAAATTCAAAAAAGATTTCAGCAAAGCATTGGCATTATGAAGAGCTGTCGGAATTATGAAGAAGTCTTGATACGATGACGGATATTCGTCGATATGTCTCGGTATAAATTTATTATTGGTCTCCCATGTTTCGCCAACCAATGACCCGTTAAGCAATCCTCCCCAACTCGAATTGAATCTATAGTCAGAGGCCTTCTCGGTATGACAAAATGAAATTCGAAAAGATTTCATCAGGGCATCGGTATTATGAAGTTATGTCGGAAATATGAGGAGATTTTGTTACGATGATGGCTCTTCTTCGTCATGTTTCAATATAAATTTATTATTGGTCACCCATGTTTCGCCATCCAAGGACCCGTTAAGCTCCCTCTCTATCTCTCTCAATGTCACAACACTTCATTTTAGGCACTAAAAATGTCTTCGAGGACCAAAAAAATTTTCATACCGAGCTCGAATTAAATCTACAGTCAGAGGCCTTCTTGGTATGGCAATGAAGATTCCAGATCACGTAAGTAATTTTTAATATCTCTTATTTTCATTGACTCAATATTATTTTCTTTTTTAACTCTATTTAAGGCATCAGTGAGGCTATCCGTATCTTCAAATGGATAAAGCCCACCAGCCACATTGAAGACGTGAGCGGAAATTTGATATAATCTTTAGCAAAATGAAATTCGAAAAGATTTCAGCCATACAACGATATTATGAAGAGCTGTCACAATTATGAGGAGGTCTTGATACGACGCTCCGGTATAAATTCATTATTTGCCTTCCATGTTTTACAATCCAAGGACCCGTTAAGCTCTCTCTCAATGACACAACACTTCATTTTAGGCATTAAAAATGTCTTCGAGGACTGCCAACAAAATCATCCGGAACTCGAATTAAATCTACAGTCAGAGACCTTCTTGACCTCTTCCAGATCATGTAAGTAATTTTCAATATCTCCTAAGGGCACCGACTCAATATTTTTTTGTTTACTCTATTTAAGGTACGTTTGAGGCTCCCAACCAAGAAAATCCGATATGAAATGCGTATCTTGAAATACATAAAATCCCCTACCAGCCGAAATATTGTAAAAGGTATCGGAAATTTCATATCATCTTTGGCAAAGTGAAATTCGAAAAGATTTCAGCAGGGCATCGGCTTTATAAATAGCTGTCGGAATTATAAGGAGGTCTTACTACGATGATGGAATTCGAAAAAATTTCAGCAAGTCATCGGTATTGTGTAGTGATGTCAGAATTATGACGAGGTCTTGATACGATGACGAATCTTCTTCATCATGCTATAAATTTATTATTGGTCATCCCTACTTAACGATCCAAGGATCCGTTAAACTCCCTCTCTCAACACTTAATTTTAAACATTAAAAATGTCTTCGAGGACTGCCAACAAAATCATCCCAAACACGTCAGAGGGCTTCTTGGTATGACAATGAAGATTCCTGATCAAGTAAGCATTTTTCTAATATCTCTTACGTTCACCGACTCAATATATATTTTTTAACTCAATTTAAGGTATGGCTACCAACCACGAAAGTCCGGGGTCAGACGAGTATCTTGAAATACAGAAAAAAACTACCAGCCGAAATATTGAGAATGGGTGCGGAAATTTTATATCATTTTTAGCTAAATGAAACTCGATAAGATTTCAGCAATAAGGCATTGACATTATGAACAGCTGTCGGAATTATGAGGAGCTTCTGATACGATGATGAATATTCTTCATTATGCTTCAGTATAATTTTATTATTGGTCTCCCATGCTTCACCATCCCCTTAAGGTCTCTCAACAACATTTCACCCTGGATTTTTGAGGCCCATTTTAGAGAATTTCTAACAAACAACACAATTCCCAACAAACACTGAAAACAAATAGATAATATTCTTTCAAGGATATGTTGAACACTATCGAAAATTCTGGATTTTGGAAAGATCTCCTCCTTAAATTTTGTCTGGATGCAAATGTTGCTCAAAATCTAAGCGAGTCTTTAAGAATCTAAATATATTCTGATTATGGTAAGCTAGTCAATAATTTTCTATACATGATAATTAAAATTATCCCCAACATATAAGTCATAAATATTTATATCCAGATTACAATTTATAAACTAAGATTCTAAATGATATCGAGAATTTTTATACAACATATTACATCCGAGCCTTATGTTGACTCGAGACAAGATATTTTCGAAGCCTTCTTTTTTAAATACAAAATATTTGATTTGATTCTTTTTTAAAACTTTTTACCATTGGTTATACCACCAGTTATATGACAATGATCTCAAACTCTGTCTAGTTTCAAGTATTGAAAGGATCTGTGTTTTTTGATATTGAACCTGTGGCTTTTTTTGTATTGCTCCTATGGTTTTATTTAAATATATATAATTTTTGCTCTTATAGTTCCTTCATTTCGTCTCTTTGGCGATTTTTAAAATGTCCATATGGTCTTACATTTAAAATGCTTCAACGGACTTTGTTTTTGTAGCAATTCTCCTATTGTTTGAAGAATAGCTACTTCTGTTTGTAGTGAGTCTCTTATCAATGGTGGGAAAAATCCAACTATTTTTTGTGGTCGCTAATTTTTTCTATTGAACGACCAAATGTAAAAATGAGAAAAAAATAAAAAGTACACGCATGTAGATTCAATTCTCTATCCGCTTCGAATAACCAAAAGTAGAAAAGAGAAGCTTTCTTTTGATCCAGCATCAATTGCTCCATTTGCTACAGAAATACCTCCAGATGTTTCATCATTTTCTCCTGCTAAAATCGTAACTGGATTTGAATAATTTGCTTCATTGTCAAAGATATTAATTTTATTCGAGTAACAGTTTGTAAAAAGTCGAGAAAGGAACACAACCTTATGCTTCGACTGTTGATTCGATTCTCTATCCGGCTCGATTGGACCAAATGTAAAGCGAGAAAAGAAATAACAACCTTTTTCTTTGGATGTAGTTTCGATTCTCTATCCAGCTCGAAGGACCAATGTAGAAGGCGAGAAAGGAAAACAATCTTATGTTTCGATTGTTGATTCGATTCAAATTTTTATTTAAAAATATATTCCTTAAGTACTACGCAAACTAATCTAACTTAACCTAATCGCAACCACACAATTATTCTTATCTATTCTAATATTGAATGGAGAACATTGCAGGGCTGCTTGTCATTTCATTCAAATGGTCTTGTACTTCTACTGAGCGCATCGATATCTGTGTGTGTGATTCATAGCCTCTATTATCTCATACAATATCGTATGCCTTAGTTAGTTAGTCCATCGTTGCAGACTGTCATCATCAATGGCTCTATAGTAAGCTCCGATTCGTTGTCTTCCATTCTCACGGCCATTGTTGGTTTGCTATTGATTTTTCCCTGATAATATCCTTCCATAACCAGAGAAATTTCTTTGGCTTTTTCCACTTCTTCGATGCATTATTTCCCTTTTCGTTAGAAATAATGGGACCTTATGTACGTAGCGGCTTTCCTTCTGTTTCCTCTTCTGTAATGAGATTTTTATTTCTTTTCCGAGTGCTTTATTGCTCAACGCGGATTCGACCTCGGAATGTCCTCCCTCATCTCGTTCCTCAAATTGAGGACTTGCTGGCGGGAAAAAAAATCACAGAAGTTCCTTCCAAGCCTGGAATCTGCTTTAGTTCAACAGCATTATGTCCCATTCTTAAATTTGCCAGTTGTTTAGACAGGTCATCTCTTTCAGCTTTGACGATATGCCTTTCCTCTTGTTCCGTGTCTTAATTTTTATTTTTGCTGGGCTGTTGCAATAGGAACATCTGCTTCATTTTTTTTTCCTCCATTAATTTCAGAATTTGCTCCTGTTGCTTCAGCATAGCCTCTTGGAACGCCCGATATTGTTTTCACTTTATTATTTTAAAATCTGTTTCTTTTTTAGTTGGGACTTTTGGTGTCCACTTTTCAAAATTTTATGTTTTTACTTTGTGACTTTGTTGTCACCCTTTAGCTATTTTTTTAATTTGCCCCGTGAGTCTTTTTTTGGTTTTGCCCCTCTGGCGTGTTTTGTAATTTTAGCCCTTTGGGTCTTTTTTGTAATATGTATTGTATATTTTTTTTAATTGTACCTTTATGGCTTTTTTATTCTAGGATATAGTGGTGGTGGTAATATACATCCGGAACCAGAGACATTTCTTTGGCTTTTTCTACTTCATCGATGCATTCTTTTCCTGCTAATTTACCACATTCGTCGACAATTTTGGACCTTCTGTGCGTGGCGGCTTTTCTTCTTTTTCCTCTTCTGCAATGAGACTATTTATTACTTTTCTTACAAAACGGTCGTCCTCTTTGCCATTGCACCGATTGGTTTTTAATAAATTGAGAGGTTCCTCCCGAAATGGTTTTCTATATGTCAGCGCTGACACGACACCAGAATGTTCTTCTTCTTCCCGTTCCTCAAAATGAGGACTTGCCTGCGGGAATTTATTTAATAATTGATGTGAGGATTTCCATTTCCCTAAATTTTCATCCAAGCATCGAATTGGTTTGATTTTCACAGATTTATGTTCCTCTTTTACATTTGCCAGTTGTTTGGACAGGTCATCTCTCTCAGCTTCCAAGACTTGCCGCGCTCTTTCCGAGTTAGCCAATTTTTCATTGACTTTCTCTAACTTCGTTTTCAGATGTCGCAATTGATCTTTCTGAACACGATGTTTTTCTTCGAATTGTTCATCTTTGGCCCTCAGGGTTTCTTCATATTTGGCGAGCAGATATTTTTCGTGGGCCTTCGCATTTCTCAATATCATTTCACTTTTTTCCACTTCGGTTGTTAGTTGAGAACGCAATTCGATTTCTTGTCCCTGCAGAGATTGTAAATTATTTTCATAGGCTTGCATTTATTCGTGTAAACCATCTTCTAATTCTCTGTCGTAATCATCCTTTGTTTCGACATAGTTAAGTTGTCTGTTTTCTTCCACTCGCTCTTCCCAAGTTAAATAGTCACATTTCGGCGAGAGTATCCATCGTGATGGAGGTTTCATCGAATCTTCGATTTCTTCATCTATGTCCAAGTCTGTGTGATTGCGACTCTGGGTTGCTAAAAGCTTCATTGCCGATAACATACACATATCTACATCACAGGGTAATGTCTTTATATGGGTTGGAAGATATTTTTGGTCTACCCTCAAGTACCGTCGTAACTGGTAATATGCATTTTCTACCAGTACCTTCCATGCCGCGACGTGTTTCACCTTTTCAAAGGCTGACGTCGACGTTAACAACCGGAAATAGTCTGCCAAAGTGTTGATATCTTATTCCATTACTTTATACATTTTTAATTTAAATGTTTTAGATGGGACTATTTGTCCTCTTTTAAAAACTTTTTATATTGCCTTCTTGGCTTTTTTCTCTTTTTTTTTAATTTGTTACTTTTTTACTTTTGGGACTTTTGATGTCCTATTTTCAAATTTGTATTTTTTTCTTATTTTGTTGGGACTTTTGTTGTCCTCTTTTCACTTTGTTTTTGCCCCTATGGCTT